GACTACGTTTCACTGATTTCTCGTCATAAAAATCTTCGATTGAAGCACATGCCGTCCTTTTCATCTTATTATCCTGGGTGCTGCTAGCAATGTTGTATGCATTTCGTCGATCGGAATGATGGATTTTGTTCGGGAGTGATTCAGCTGTACGCAGTCTTCCTCATTTGGCAAGTGATCGAAATACCTTTTGTCTGTCCAGTGTGAATGCGGTGAATCGATTGTTTTCTGGAGTTCATAAGATTCTTCAGCCCGTTTCAAAGAGCCTTCCTTTCCTTGTTGAAGATGAAATGCAGGTTGGTTATTGGATATGTTGTTGGATCTTTTCAAATTTTGTGCTTTACTGTGCAATGCAAAACTAAAAATTCATTATTTAAGATCTCCATTGCATCTGGCAAGTACAAGCAGGTAATGTATGACTTTAGGGTTTCTACAATATTCACAGGATGTAAAAGAGGCTGTCCGTCAGGGGCCACAATACGCGGAATCGTGGTTAGATTAGATAAGCAGTTCCTGTGAACAGACGCTCTAGGCATCTTGGTTTGGAAAGAGTTGGCTATGGCGAGACAAAACCCCAGATTTCTGGTGGGTAGCTTGCCGGCACTCCTCCCACCGTGAGCGTTTAATGGGGAGACTAACGATTATTAGTTACTTCATCAACTTATGCAGATAAAGATGTGAACCAATGACAACTTGATACAAAATGAAATACTCTGGGGGCAGATTTGCAAAGCACCATAAGTGAAAAGGACCATGATAAATTAATGGTAGTTGCCGGGCAGGGATTCTGACATGGACACAATGTGCACACTGGAGGGCTGCAGGTGAATTCGCATAGACGTTGATATACCGTAGGTCTTGTACAACCAGTTTAGTTGTGTGACCCAGGCTTCGATATACTTTGTTACCCGGATTATTAGGCGAAGAGGAAGGGATGTCACTCGTGCCGGCAGGTATCTAAACTTGGTGCAAACAGTGAGGATTGGCGGTGTGGGATGTGGGCAGACACCGACTGAGAACTGGAGACGCAACTTGGCACTCAATGTGCCCAGGCAACTTGCTGGTGCAAACGGTGTATTCGACCGGCCTTATCAATTGGAAGGCAATTTTTGGAAGCCTGTATTCTCAGGAGACCAGGATCCGTGATGATTAAAGCCTGAGGCAAAGAAATAAGTGATTATATAAAAAAGCGCGAGATTTTCGCGAGCACAGGCGTGAAGAAAAGTGCCATTTTTTATTATTCCGTCTGTATTCCAAACTGGCGAATGATCTCCAAATCAGGCAATCGGCAGAACACATCTTTCACAATTAAGAACACTGAATATTAATTTAGTCGTAATATAATTAGTTTGCCTGGGCCAACATTCACCTCCCAACGCTTGAATCTTCGGTTGACGGATGCACTGCTGACGATGGCCGTGTACGATCAAGTTATAACAATCCAGAACTAGAACAAACAACTATTCTAGAAACCATGCCTTTGTGTACTTGGAGAGCTGGTCTGTGGATGAATAAAGACGTTTCACAAATGGATCAACCTCTTGCGTACCAAGGGAACAGGACAACTTTGGCATGGAACGCCGTCAGCAGGGATGTTGTGTGTCGTCGAGTGTCACAAGATGGCACACACAGTGTGCATCGAACCCACAACCTACTTCCGCATAGAGCCTACTGTCCAGGTGCAAGAACCGAAGTAAGTGAATAAGTAAGTAAATGAGTGTGGTAGTCTGTGGGTGGCGCCGACCGTTAATAGATGATACACGCGAAGCGCCTCACGTCATATAACATATGTCTACGTCGAAAGTAGGAGAGACAAAATCCTTGAGCCCAATGTACCCTTGTCATGTGACGGCTAGGAAAAATTGATCTATCATAATAATGACAGAAAACGTGTCACGCGGGTCAAGGTACCAGTGATGCCACATCAATAAGCGACAATTATTGGAGTGGTTATTGAACTTATCATGACCAACCATGACGCGCTAGGGGTGTTCCCAATTGATCGCGCTGCTATGATTTAAGAATGAAGAGCTCAGGATTTGCTCAAAGCATCTGTACACGAAGCTAGACTAACGATTGTACCCGTTCACTTGCAAACAAACGGCCTATCTACACGTAATAACCGAGCATTTTTGTAGTGATAGTTGGACAGGAATTTTGGCAGGGAGTTGAATTCTCCGATGGCGAGGTGAGCACATCGTGTGTTGATCCTTGTACCGCTCGAAAGTTCCTAATTCATAACGATGTCGATACTCAGAGACTCCAGTTGACCAGGTTATCGTGTTGTGACCCACACCCTGCATGTCCAGAGAACAACTAGGAGAGAAAAAGATGTCAACTGAAGAAAACTCGAATGCATCTCGGAAAATGAGTGGCCGTGCTTAAGAAGTTGTGCCATTTTCCGTAGTTGCGAAGGTCAAGTTAGAACATCCTCAGAAACCTATAAGGGGCGTATCATATTCGCGAATGTGGAACATTCCGTAGCAAATCCCATGTGTCCTTACCAAATACTGAACCAAGTTTTGTGAAATTTATGACGTGAAATTGCTACTTCGAAGAGATAATATATAGACTGGTGACCTATGATGCTCCAAACTATGCAGAAAGATTACTCGTTGTATGTACGCGCTCCTTAATACAGAAACGTGTGTAACGATGTGTATTACAGGTGAAGCGTGTACGTAGTCCATCATGTGATGTGAATGCCTCGCCCTCCAATCCGATGTCGAGCGAAGGTTAATGCGGAAATTATGGAACTGATTTGCAGTGTTCAATTTACCAATGATGTTCTTGAAAGGTAAAAATGGTGCTTGGGAATGTTCATTTTAAAAACTTTGAACAAAGAAGATATTTGCTTTCATGTCTAGCTGCTTAGTCCGGGCTACTGATTAAAGGTTCACTGTGAGAGCATTTCCCTTTATCAGAGATACGTGACCTGCTGTGCCACACATGAATTATCACTGTAGACTGCGGATTATTCCCACGGGATCTGATGACCCACAAACACGCTGACTCGTTTTAGAGGCACAATTTCACACCGGACATCTTCGCCGTTCGTTCCGAAATCCCATGCAAGCATGACAGAGGCCGTTTTGTTCGATTTAATTCTACCCTTGTTTTCAAACAAGGTTGTATCACTATATCATCTGTCCTCATAGGATATTTGGCCATCAGTGTTATCCTGCCGAATTCACAACCTTTACGAAGTTTCTCAATGCGGCTTGTTATGGGCGGGNAGCGTCATCTAAAAGGCTCCTCACAACAAAGGCGAGAGAACATGTCTTCCTCGCCTGCGTTGCATTCTCAAAATTGTTGATAATCTGCAGCGCAAAATTTCTTTGCCCGCACATGAAAACCCAGGAATGGACATACTCCTGAGACGACTCTGTGTATGGCAGAAATTTTCCATCAGGGTTTCAGAGCCTTCGAAACTAATGCACTTTTATCATTTGTTTCAAACTTGCAGAGTGCATTGTGCCGCCATGAATCTGCGTAGCAGCAAACTTAAAGCCGATGCAAATGGCGTAATACAGGACGTTTTATTGGGGGGGATTGCCTGGAAATATAAACGCATCTTAAATAGGAAAGGTCAGAGCAGCGTTTAGCACCCTCCGACAACAGTCAGGACGGGTAACGTAAAGTTCGTTCGTTGAAGAACAGGCTGCATTGTGACAGTGCATGGAATACTATTTTTTGGAAAACAGGTTAGGACTCTGACCAGTGAAGTCTCCAAAGCAACAGTTGTGGCCTGGGGAAACACCGGCTTAGTAATTTGGGGTAAGGCAAATGGCCCCATAAGGGAAACTCTTCCGCAGTAAACGAAAACCATGTACATCGGATGATAGAAGGGAGGCAGTTGCTTGCAGAATTTTTACCCACTTCGGTTCTAAATGAAAACGATCGGGAGAAAGAAATTTTACGAACGTGCAACGAAGGAGAACAACACCAAAATTTCAACGTAGTAAGACCAAAAGCTGCCTCCACCAGGTTCTGGCCCTAGGACAACTTACAATAATAAATAACGATGTTTGTAGAAAGGCAACAATTCTGTAGGAAGTAAAGAGCATGCGTCAGGGTTATCTATCTCGCCCAAACTGTCTGAACATACAACCGCCTTCGAGGCGCCCTGCACGTCCGTATTCCCTGGGCATCCAACACCTCACAGTTGGTTCCCATGTCTACAATACACGGCCTATAACTTTGCTCATTGATCGGTTGTCCTTCGGTCACCAGCATATTTGTTGCACATTGTTCGTCCAAGAGCGTGGCCGATGGTCAACCGATTTCACGTTGTAGAGCTGTGCTGACGTGCAAAAGTTGTTGAGTGTTCGGATGAAATAATGTGTCTTACTTATGACAGCAAACATTTCAAAATGCACTTA